TGTCCTGGATTCTCTAGATTCCAATAGATTTATTTAAATTCCAATAAACCAATAAATCCTAGTAAATGACATATATTCCAACCATGATCCTATATATATAGGTCTCTACAAAAACCAAGAAACCATCAAATTTGTTGGATCGAGTTGATTTATTGGAATCAATTCCAATAAACCAACTCGATGCCTCTGAATAAATCTATATTACAGGTGTACATTATACTCGATCAGGGGTGGCCGCAATTAGTCTTGCAAAGCACAGCAGAGCTTAATCAGCTGCATGTCGAAGCAAAGAGCTTAGCAGAGGCTGGCCTGTATGCTGTGTGCAGGCATGCTGTCAGCAACGATGCCGTGTGTGCATAACATGCATGTAGCATTTCGTGATCGAAAAGGGTGCCTTTTAGCTTATAGGGTTTCGGATAATGAAAAGCCCGAAGCGCCGATGTGCGAGCAAGACCTCGGCCGAGCATGCAGCACGGACCCCACCTCGACGGGTGACACCCGAGAAACTCAAAAAAGAGAAGAGGAGGCAGGAAAAGAAGAAGGCTGCGGGCAACCCACCGAAGTCTGTGCTGAAGAAGTCGAAGCATGCTGCAAGCAGCAAAGCGGAAAGGGAGGAGTCCGAGCCATCGGTCACTTTTGCGGAGAAGCCTGAGATCCATGCGACAACCCCGACCAAGACGAGCCGCCCGCGGGACCAGATGAATTCCCCCAACATGTCGATACGTGAAGCCGAGAAGATCCTTGCCGAAATGAATGCGGACGACGACGAGCGTCCCGACACTTCTTCGGAGGCCAGATGTGCAAATCCCATCTTGCATGGATTGTGCGTGTGTGTGTGTGTGTGTCTGTCTGTGTGTGTCTGTGTGTGTCTATATGCGTGTGCGCACGCACACGCACGGGTGTGGGTGGGTGGGTGTGTGTGTGTGTGTCTCTGTGTGTCTGTGTCTGTGTCTCTGTGTGTGTGTGTGTGTGTGTTTGTTTGTGTTTGTGCATGACTACATGTACAGGCAGCAGAAGCAAGCTCTGGGGACGAGCAGGACGAGGAGTCGGCCGTTTCAGATGCATCGGGCCAGAGCGACAAGGAAGCTGAAAATCAGGACGATGGCTACGAGCTGGACAGCGAGGAGCCGCCGTCTGAAGTTTCGGATGCTTGCGAAGGATCAGAAGAGGAAGCCGAGGAAGCCGCCCCGGCATCCTCAGATCCAGAGCCGAGCTCACCCGAGGCATCTGATGATGAAGCAAGTGCTTCCTCTGCCAGCGAGGATGAGGAGCCAGAGCTGCCGCCGCCCTCGAAGAAGGGGAAGCACACTCGCGATGAGCGAGTGACTCCACGCAAGCTTGAGTCGCAGGAGAAGCACAAGAAGAAGGACAAAAAGAACGACAAAGCCAGGGGTACGGAGAGTGGCAAGGAGAAAAAGCAAAGGCAGAGTAGCCCGAAGAGAAAGGCTGCAGAGGATCCCCGGGGCCCACAGAAGCCCAAGAAGAAGCAAAGGCAAAGTAGCCCGGAGAGAAAGGCTGCAGAGGATCCCAAGGGCAAGAGCCGCAATAAGCATGGTGCACAGGCCGGCGGGTCTGGGACGGCCTTGTCTGAAGCAGAGCAGAAGCTTAAAGCCATTAACAGCAACTCACACCACACGGAGTATCTTCGGTTTGGGCGATGGACCAGCAACAGGAAGAGATTCCCAAAGGTGCTAAAGGACTGCCTTGCCAATGAGTCCAGCCGAATGAAGTTGTTCGAGGAGTATGTGGCAGCAAAGGGCGATGTGAATCAAATCATTATGAAACATGAACAGCAACTTCGCGAGGCGCAACGATCCCAGATCAGGTACGGCTTTCGTGGAGAGAAGTGGGTCCGTGACACACATGGGGACACCAAGGGCGAGAAGATCATGGAGCGCAAAAAAACCCAAGGGCTGAAACCTGACTACACCAGAGAGAGGGAGAGAGAGAGAGAGAGAGGAGTCAGAGATCAAGTGCAGGCGAAAGAGTGAGACTGTGTATATATGCTGCCGTGTGTTATGTGTGTACGTATGTGCTAGCAGCAAGCTTTTCTGTGAAGGCGTAGAAGTCTCCGATCGGTCTTGGGTCGAGGGTGGGTGGTTTATAGATTATAGACCGGGTTGGGGGCCCCGGCCGGGCGGGGTGGGTTGGTGCTACGCGTGGGGTGGGGCTAGCTATTCCTGTCTGAAGTTTGTCTGGTTTGGGTAAAATCACTGTATAGAGTTTTGTCTTTTGGTGAATCTACGTTTCTTTGCTTGTATAATTCAAAATAGTCTTGTGATTTGCGTGCAAAAACAAGGACGATTGCCGACCCGGAATGTCCAGAAGATTCTCTCTACTTTGTTTTCGTGGAAATTAACATCGATGACGTTCGCGAGATTCAGAGGATTACGAAGCTGGAACTAGCAGGGCAACTAGACGAAGAGATGTTGAAAGCTTTCACGGAGGCGACTGTTGCTGCTACATGTTGTAATCGCTGTCATTTTGGCAAGCACAAGTTGTATGGGAGGCCGGAGGAATCCTGGACTCCAGCAAGCAGCTCGCTCTGGGCAATGGGGTCAGCAGTGATACCGTGGGCAAGGCTTTGAAGATGATGGGGGGTGGAGCCCCGGCAACGGGGGCAGCGAAGGCGAAGCCCTCGAAGGGCAAGGCTGAGCCAAGCAAGGCCGCCAAGGTGGGACAGCAGAGGAAGTTTAAGTTGACATAGATGTGGTTGCGACTTGCTGAGTGTTCATTCAGGTGGTGCCGGATTCCCCGCTGGACAAGGCGAAGAATCTATTGAGCAGTGTGCTGAAGGACAAGAACTGCTGCAGGTGGGTGGAGAGGCGTAACACAGCATATGCATAAACATGCTTATGTGCAGCTTGTGTTCAGGGACTTTGCATTCAAGCTGAAGCCCCTCAAGCTGTCATCGACTTTGATCGAGCAGCTCCTGGCCTTGGAGAAATCTTTCTCCTCGAAGGCAACAATTTCACAGCCGTTTGCCAGTGCTACTTGCTACAATATCGATTGGAGTTTTCACCTGTGTTGGAGGCTCACGACCTGCAGAAGCTTGTGTCGGCCAAGAGGAACAAGAACAAATACTTTAAAGCCATCACGGAGGAGGCCAGGAGCTTTTCAAAGGCAATTGAAATTCATCAGTTCATTTGTCGCAGATCACCAAGATCAAGGAGCAGGCTAAGGAGCGCATCGAGCTGGCAAAGGCCCTGATCCGTGCCAGTGAGAAGAGCAATAATGCCCCCGGCAAGCCCAAGGCTGAGGGGGAAGAGGGCACGAAGAAATCCAAGAAAGCCTAAGAGGTGACGGGATTTTGTTGCACTGTGCAAGAACACCCATCAGAGGCTGCAATAGCTTACCTAGAGGGTCCGATCGAGTGCATGTTAGCAGTGTTGATGTGTACGCAAGTGAAGTGCAGTGCCGCAGCATCCCTGAGCTAGAGCCTGTGGTCGTAAACCGTCCCTGTGCATGCTACACTCGGTCGACACTGTGGAGTTGCTACCTCCAGGCAGTCCTTAATTGGGCTATCCACGTAGCAATAATGACACGCATGGATATCAATGCTTGAAATTTGTTGGCATCGGTGCAGCTTGCAAGCAGTGTTGTGTAGCAGTATAAGGCGACGCTGGCTTTTCACAGGCACCTCGGGATGTGCTATAGGGTCCGTGCCATGTTTGAAAACAATGTCGTGCATTGCATATAGCATGCTGTGGTGGCAGATGTGATCGTACAACATGCATATATGTATATCATACTGATGGGAAAACCCCTCGCAGGGCGAGATCTCGCTCTCGGTCGCGAGGGGCGACTGCAGAGGAAACAAGGGCACGCAACTTTGTCAGAAATACACGTAGGTCAAGTAGGTGCGATGTTGTGATGCAGTTGTGTTGTCATGCGTGTTTCTTTTCAATGCCAACCAGGAGCATCGGTTTAACGGCTTCTGCCCCAGGGATAATGAAGTAACGTATTGGGTTGGCTCTTGTAATCTACAAGCGTAAGGAAGGGATGTTGGGGCTCTGATCGATTGTCTTAGGAATCTCACTGAGGTTGCTTCCGCTTGCTTTTTTGCACGCTGCACAACCTCCGCTTCTCCGAATGGCATTTACCATTCACTTGAAAGAGATTTTCTGTGCCATCGAGCACCGACATAAGCAGCATAACGATATAACACCTGCGAACCAAGATTTTGTGGGTGGCATAAAGTAGCTGTCATCTTGATTCTGCCGACCTTGGATGTGACAACAGACCAGCGATACAGACTATCATATGCATCGAATCGACCGTCAATGCCAAAAAGCGGCCATGTCTTCATCACCATATGTACAGGTACGGAGTGGGCATGTAACAGCTGTCTGCTCGTAGATCAAGTGCTCTAGCCTCAGAGCTTGAGAAACTCACATTTAAGACCAAGCCCGCTTCAGAGACGACAGCCCTGTGTTCCATATCATGGGATCGCCCGTGGATGAGTTGGATGGTCGGCGGATGAACTTTGGCTGAAAATGGAATTTAGGCAAGTCTCCCGTGGAGCTTCGGACGAAGCTTGAACAACAACTTCGATCGGCTCCATGCATCGTATGCACAATCTTGGCGCAATGAAAGGCTTTAAAATTCGGAGGTTTATGGTTTCGACTGAAGTCTTATGAACATGCGACCAAAGTACAGTTGTAGCTCGCACGAAACAGAACATAATGGGCCTGCATCTTTCGAATCACTTCAGCCGGGAGGACGGCATCGTAACCCGACATCGCCTCTCTCATTCCTGCCAGATTTGTGAAGATCGCCGCCATGTTCCTAGGTCAAACGAAAACACCCCACACCTCAATGCCGAACAAAGTACATATATAGCCAATCGTCAACCAATAGCGATCAGGATTTGTTCGCGAGAACATCAGCGTGACGGAGCGAAGCCACTTGACCATCACTACAGACTCCTTGGTTGAGGTTGAGATATTGAAGGCTGCAGTTTTGTAAGCAACAACCAGTATCGACCGTTATCGACCACTAAGCAGCAGTCCGCGCCACTGAGATGCTTCTGAGATAAGGTAGGAAACAGACCCGGCGTCGATGATTTCAGAGTTTTCAAAGAGAACGGCGGGGCTCGGTTTCCTAAGTTAATCAAGATTTCGTTTTGGTTGGGGCACTCTAGGACGGGGTGCTTAAACCCTAAACCCTTATAAAGGATCCCTTATCCCTAAACCCTAAACCCTTATAGTAGCCCTTACAGTAGCCTTAAAGGAGCCCTTTAAAGGAAACCCTGAACCCTTAAACCCTACACCACAAACTAGCTCTTAAACCCTAAACCCTACACCCTATCAAGTCGCTGATGCCCTCACGTTTGCAAGCTTGCGCAAACTCTTGGTAAGCAAGCTCCAGTCGTAGCTCTTGATTTCTGGCTGGCCAGGGGCTGTTGGCCGACTTCGTCATCTCTAGTAGTGCCTCGGGATTATCCAATCAATCGATCCTATATTTGTTGATACGATGAAAGTCATAAGAAGCGGAACTGAGCTCCCGTCTGATGCACAAGCATCAGGAGCTATGGCTAAATCAACAAGGTGAAGCCAATCGTCCCATATTCGTTCAACAGCGAAGCCTGGAATGGCGACCCATGGTGTGCTACCGCACTTCTGGATGAACTGGGCTGTGGAATAGATCCTTAGATTACACGTGCATGCTTGATCGATAACCGAACCGACCGCCTAGAGCAATCGTTGTTGTAGCCGGGTCGCGTTGATCGATGGTGGGCTCCGGGTCCGTAGTGAACGTAGCCCAAAAGAGAAGAGCCATCTTTTTGAGCCTGGGTATATCGAATCACACTACACAAACTCCATTATGGTTTGTTGGATAGACCGCCATATGCAAATTAGAAGCTGCACATGCTCGACATACTTCTTCACTCGTCCAGTAGTTCTCAAACTTGTAGCAAGCATGAAGGTACTTTTGGTCCCCCTTGTGACCAGCGAATACGAACCGGAAACGTCCGGCGATTTGCTTCCCAGCTTTAGCATAAAGAGCAGGCATGTAGTCGGGACTGAAAGGTCGACCGTACCAGTCATGATCAAGGTATGTACCAGCTGCAGCACACACCAATCCCCAACAAATCCAACAATCTATTTCTGTTGCAGTAGATTCGCTTGCAGTGCTGTTGTCGAAGCAACTCAACAACAACTTGTGATCCCAAGTAGCTATACTTGGCCCAACCAATGCCGAGGCTACTGTGCATATGGCAAACGACCGGCGCTTATGCATCTCGGCAGCATCACCATGACATTCGAGATGGATGATGAAGTTCAGTTCTTCCTTCGACACCTTCGAAAGTAGGGGGTGTTCCTGGAACCATGTCGTCGTGCGATTGGCCTCCCAGTACTGCGAGATACTTTTGTTAGGCTCAGGGCCCAGCAGGAGCGATTGGAATAGATCGATGTCAAAAGAATATAAAGCATTCAGCCTCAGCAACTATATGAGGCTTCGCACAAACCTGTGAAATCATGAAAACGATGCAATCGAGTTGCCAATCCGGAATCAAAAAGATGGAGTGCGGGCCCACAAAGTTCGGCTCGCTCAGCTTAGGATCTACCTTAAACACGATAAACCGGCCACAACTCCTACGTCTCAAATGCCAATTCAGATCAGTGGCTTGATTGACCAGGATCCTAATGTCAATCGTTGTTACAAATACGACCTACGATCACGGACCATAATGTGACAGGATTCGTTGTTGGTGAGGGCAATGCTTTCATCCATCGTTGACGTCGTAGCCAGCTACGAAAGTTGCGCTGCACATTGTCATTGCCAGCGGTGCATTCTGCCAAATCCACGAACTCTTTCCTTACAGGTTTTTGGGTTTGGGCCATCATAGCTAGATTAATAGCATAGATGTGCGGCTGGGGTTCTCCAAGAAAAGAGGTGGTATCCGCTTATGCACAGCTTGCACAAAATCTCTGATTGTTTTCACAGATACTCGTCTGGATAATTCCAGGAACTCCTCCATCATCCCGTACACCTCGCCACCCTGAGCTTCTGAGGTATGCGGTGACGGCGGGCATTACATTATCTCGGGCCTTGCTGCACTTGGAAGCAGGGGTGTTCTTGGCCATGGCTATCGTACATGGGGCACAATATGTAGACTCGAAGTTTGAGGTTTCGTGTATTCCGGGTCTATGGACAAGGGAAGGCCTGGGATATATAATAGGACTTTACTAGGGTTGGACGATATTTTGGAAGGTCGGGCTTAATCGTAGGATTAGTAGTAGTACCATGTGCACGGGCTAGACTGTTCAGGTCCCTAGAGGGGTTTAAGGGGTCTTATAGTCGGGGACTATCCGGCATTATGGTGTGGTCTATACGTGTGCATAGATCCTACCTATTTGGGCCTCATTGCAAGTTGCGCAAAGCCTGTCGACTGACCGAGTCGAGAGAAGTCATGTGTCGTAAGACATTAGCAGCCACCGTGGGATCACTGAAATATCGAACCATTTTGGAAGCCGTCGCAATGAACTCGCATCGATCGGGGTCTCGACGGGTCTAAGCTTTGACTTTGTCCCCAGCAAAGCAGCCGGTCTGACCACCAACTAGAATTAAAGCAACTTGATGCATGCGGATGATCGCACACCAGGGCCCGGAATTGTAGCGAGTGGCACAACCTCTTAAGGTAAGGGTCTAAGTCGTTGCATAGCCCCGTGTAGAGATCCCCTTAGAGACCCCTAGAGTATGTATACCAATCCCCATGAAAAAGTCGAACCACTAACGGCTAGCCAACCGAAGCCCACATAAAATATCGGAGGATTGTCTTAAACCATTCATATCGCTAGTGCCACGAACTATACTGCCTGGCAAGAGGATGCTGCTCGATTTCCAACTCCTGATTCCCAAGCCTTAACCTAACTAACCTTAAGCCGCCCCATCCGAAACCTTACATACCTAACCGCAGTTGCACCAATCGAGGGCTCAAGTAGCTTAGCGTCCGGGTTCTGACTTGTAGCCACTTGCTTATCCCAGGTTACGGCATCTACCTTCGGTCGACGACCTAGGACGGGGGCGCTTTGGCCTTTGCTGGTTTAGCATCGGTTTTGGCCTTCTTCGGCTTTCGTCGAAGGGCCTCCTTAAGATCATCTTCGATTAAGGTAGCCTTTTGGCAAAACTCATCGTAGGGAACCTGCAGGTCTGCAGCCTGGGTGGTCTCAAAAATTTTCTCCATCTTTTTGATTTCATTCGGCATCTCAGTCCGGAAGTTCTTCAAGCTGTCCACCTTAGGTAGAGACATCTTTATATGGGTCTTAGGCTTAGGGTTTAGGGGGGCTCACCAAAATCGGCTCTACATTCTACCGGGATACAAGTTCATTGCAGTGCTTGCTGCCACCAATATCTCGCAACCGCTCTGTGATCTTGGCTGAGAAGCCTCGAAACCTTAGTTGGGGAAGTGGGCTGAGTACGAATGTTGATATGGGCTCGGGGGTATTGCAAGGGTTCAGCTAGGGCACTTCCTGACCAGCTTGCTAAAGTCGTCAACGAGCTTCTCTTCGGCGGTTAGGACTTTGGTGTTTTCTTTCTTATTCTTCTTATTCAGCACAATCTTGCCTGTTTCCCTATCCAGGAATTGGGTGCTGTCCAGGGCCTTCAAACCGCTTTGCATCGACTCGCTGATCGATTTCTTAGCGGCTGCATCCGAAACTTCTCCGGACACACACACGGAAGTCTCACCCCTGTGACCCTTGCGGTGCTCCTCCATTATGCACTTAAGCACACGGTACATTCTCGCCTTCTCGATCTTTGGGGCCTGGGGATGTGGAGTCCCCTTCTGCCCTTAGATGCTCATGCCTCACACAGGACTTCATCGACTTGGGTGAGATCGCTGCAGGCACACTCCGGACTGCAATTCCAAGTCACTCTTGACCAGTTCCTGTATAAATTCCTTCGCCTCTTCACTATCTCCGAACTCTTTCTCGAGCTGAAAGATGGTAACGGTGGCGTACTGATCGGTGTTCATGTTTTCCACCACCTTGGTGAACCTTAGGGATCGGTCTGTGTGCGAAGGTTTGAGGATGTTATGTAGACTAGCAGACTAGCAGCTTCTCTTCCACATAGATGGAACCAAGGTCTCCATCATTCATCATCCATTCCCGAAGCATGTCAAACCTCAGTTGTACAAACGAAGCCAAGACCCGATAATTAGCATTGTTCGTGTTCCTATAAGTGTAGAATGAAGCCCCGGAGCTTGGTCGTATCATCAGCCGCACTGTACTTGGCCACGAGCGCGGGGTGCAACTCTGCTGCGCTTTTAAGCTGACGACCCAAAGCAGCGAACTGCCGTTTGCGTTCAGCTCGAGGCATATCCTAAGCATTTGAAGATTTGGCCCCCTCGATCCCGATGAACCCTACACAAACCCTAAGCCTCAGACCCTAAACTCTAAACCAAGCTACTAAGTTCAATGTAGTGCATGCAGGGAACAGTGGGTGAGGCCATGTTTTTCAATGCTTCTTTCTGAGCATCAGAAAGCTTGATTGACCGTGCCTGCACAGAAGACCCTTATAAAAGTTAAGTACACCCGGTACACATGATGCGAAAGATCGATCGATGCTAATTCCGAATACCGGCCTGCTGGGGCTGCTTGGGGAGGGCAGGCTTTGCACTTTCTTTGGGGGAGGGTGTGGCAGTCGTGTGGGTCGGGCTCGGTGTGGCGGTCGGGCTTGCTTTGTTTGTGCTTGGGGATGGAGTGGCAGCTTCCGTAGCTACAGGCGAGGCCCCCACAATCTGTGTGCTGGGCTCTGGGCTTTCGTCCACACCCTTCAGCTCGATGCTTGCAACTGTGGCTTGGCGTTCCATGAGCTTCTGATGCTTGCACGGGCCGGGAGCATCACCGGTACCCTTGTATGTATCAGGGCTGAAAAACCTGGCCATCGACTTCGGGTTGAGGTTACGGAGGTCACATTTCTCAACCTTCTCTCCACTCGCAGGGGGCTCTCGCACACGTGGGGGAGGTGTCGCGGGGGGTGAGTCAGCATTGTTTGTTTCGTCTTTCTTCTCGGCATCCTTTTTGTCATCCTTCTTGATTTTCTTTTTGTCCTCCTTCTCCTCCTTCTCCTTGGTTTCCTTTTTGTCCTTCTTCTCCTTGGTTTCCTTTTTGTCCTGCTTTTCCTTGGTTTCCTTTTTGTCCTTCTTCTCCTTGGTTTCCTTTTTGTCTTTCTTCTCCTTGGTCGCCTTCACTTCATCCAGCATCTCGGCTAGCTCCTTAACCATGTCTACCTCAGGTTCTTCTTGTGTCTTCTTGGTTCGCTTCGACGGTGGCTCCTGGGGTGATGCTACGGGCTTCTTGGTTTTGATCTTCGCGGCACTTTCCGGCTTCGCTTCGGGCTTCTCACTGCTTGTGGGCTTCACGGCTGAGCTCTTTTTGGTTTTCTCGGCTTTCAGCTTCTTGCTGCTTGCGACCTCCTCGGCTTCGAGCTTCTCGCTGCTGGCGGGCGTTGCGGTTTTTGGCTTCTTGGCGTTGCTCTTCGAGGTTGCTTCGGGCTTCTCATTGCTTGTCTCAGCAGGCTTCTTTAAGCCGGCTTTCTCTGCAGCCACAAGAGCTAGCACAGCTTTCGTAGCATCCCCTCGGTTGTCAGCTAAAGCAATGCACGCAGCATCTCGGTCGAACCCCATCTTCACTAACTTCTCCAAGCACTTGCTTTCATCCATCGTCTTTCCCTTCTTTCTACGCGACACATCCACGGCAGCACTGCCAGACGGTGGCAAGCCCAAACAACCGCTCTTCCTTAGTGCGATGATCATAGATGCCAGACATGACGATCATCCGAATGGTGCCATGGTACGAAGCAGCAGGGGCCATGCCGATGCCTTTATAAAGGCGACCTCATTTTTAGATACGGGAGGACTGTTATCGTGCATGCAGCGCAAGAACGTTCTCAAAAGATGAGGGGCAGACTTCAAACGGTTCCCACCGGTGAAGGAGCACACTCGCTAGCAAAATGCTGCGCTGCTGGGCCCAATTAACGCGACACGGGGTGACACGCGAAGTAACGGATTCTTGTTATTTCCAAGGGGGGGGTGACACGGGGGTGACACGCACTCTGCTTTTCTCGTTTTCACGACTCTCTGCTCGATTTGTGCGTGGCAACTACGTGATACTTTTAATAGAAGCCAGCTTCCATCCAGCTCGACCCTTCAAGAAATCATCTATGCAATCATCGTCACTACCTTCGTCACTTAGATCATCCAAGATTGCACCGAAGTCCACCGAGGTCATATCGGTAGAGTTTCTGCGGGCGGCTGCGAACCTTGTTTGGGTCGTGCTTCAATTTTAATGGGTCGGCGGGCTTGCATGATTTACAATGATCGAACCTTCGAAGCATCGTTCTTGGACAAGGCGCAGTGATGCAATATGCATACCGAAGGACGCTGTATAAGCTGCCGTGCTCACCAGATCTCGTCCTCCCACCTGGGATGCATTCGGCTGGAGCGGGGGTATGGCTACCAAGTTGCGATCGATCGGTAGCTGCAGGCTATAGCTAAGTCCCACAATAAATAACCGGCCCATCAGCCCTAGGAAACCGGGAAGCATCGCGTGCAAGCCCACTAGAACCAACTACCCTAAACCCCGATCGAAACCCCATCCGGTTTATGAGGCTTGTAGATTCTATGGTTTCGCTTCATGCTCGCACTGTCGCAGGCGCCAACTCGGACATGCACCGACTCAAGGCTTGGTATTGTTTGCCTATCATCTAACTGGGCTAGAATTGATGCGGGGGGATTAGTTCGTTGAGGTTTGGGTAGATGGGCTTTCTTGAATGGAGGGTGCAGATTATGGGGGTCCACTGGGTCGATTCCGGGCCTTTTTATCGGTGTTCGGACGCATTTAGGGCAAACGGAGACCCCAGGTTGGATAGATGTATACCGGCCATAAACCCTTAAGCACAAAGCCATAAAAACCATAAACCCCTAAACCCTCAACCCCATAAACCCCTAAGCCCTAAACCCCTAAACCCTAAATATTAATATGATTTTAACAGGTCATGATTATTAACACTCGGCCATCCTCTGTTAAATTCTGCAGATCGTGGCTCGACGCGACACATCAATCGGGCCTGACGGCAAGGGTGTGGCTAGAAGCTGGCTTGCGCTTTTGATCCTGCCACGTGTGGGTCGTTTAACCTTCCTTCTTAGTTCAGATTGCAGCCGCCCTGTCGCATGCCCGCCAGCTCCTCCACTACCAGCTATTAATATTAATAGCATGTACGTCTGCCGGTTTTAGGAGCACAGCCCTCAGAATCATTATTAGCATGTACGTCTGCTCAATTGGAGTCATGCTCCCAGAACTCTAGTTGCAATATCGTAGATGTACATTCATCTACTCCGGCAGAGCTCAGCTATTCATCGATTGAATATGATGCAGACTTGACGATAATCCCCGAACACAGCTGAAATCTGCAACCTTCATTGGATTCAAACCACCCATACACAGGTCGTGGATGCTGCGCTACAACTGAGAGCTGCGTATCCGAGATCGCGCAGAACATACCCGGAAGCCTAATCTTGATTCATAAGACCTGATGCATTCCCAGGATTGCATGGGCTCTTAATCTAAACCCAGGATAACCCCTAACAGCAAGCAAGCAATGCTGGTGGTTCAAATACACTACTCCCCAACTTACACCAACCTAAATGCCCAAAGGTCCCACTTTTCTAGGCTGTGAGGGTTCGCTCGGTTTAAATTTGGCAATTTGGGGTCTATATACACCATAGTCCAGTTGGTCCCTGAAGTGCAGTTCGTTGGCATGTATAATCCCTAGACACCAGGAGCCTATGATCCCTAAAGCTGAAACCCTAACCCCTCGAAACATAAAGCCACCTAAACCCGAAACCCTAAAACCCTAAACCCTAAAACCCTAAACCCTGAACCCTCAAACCCTAAAACTACATACTGAATTCATGGGTTTTAACATAGATCTCGATGGACATACTTGAAATTGCAAGAGCAAGCCTCAGCGGATCTACTGTTCAGGGCTTATATGGTTCGAAGTACTCCAAGAAGAAACTATGGGCTGATGCTTCGATTGAGTGTCGGCTTAATTCTTATTTCGGATCCCAAACCCTAAACCCCAATAGGTGGCTTCTATTGTATTTAAGGCCTCGGGTCTATAAAGGAAACGGAGAGTCGGGCACCAAATTTCGGATCCCAAACCCTAAACCCCGACACCCTACATGAATTGTACCTCTGTATATAACAACTATATCGCCAACCCCAAAGACTGAAATTATAGTCCAGATCTGATCATCTATCGATAATACTAAGTATCCCTGTAATATATGCCAATTGGAATCTTCACAGCAAGCAGCCCCACGAACAGAACCCAAGCCCGAGATTCACAGAACAACCGAAGATCGAGTTGATATATTATACCCCAGCAGCTCTAGCACGAGCGTCTATCCAATTGGAAGACTAGGAGCAACTCTCTCTTGGCCGTCATCATCCAAGTACCGTTTGGTGATTTGGATTAAACCACTGTCCTTAATGTCCTGTAAGTGCTCCTTGGCCAGCTTCGAGATGTTGCGGCAAAGAGAGCTGATGCCGGGCAGGGTGCCCCAAAGCCTGAGATAGTGTCGGAGCTTCGGGTTTCGTTATCTTTTAGCCTAAGCACCTAGGGCTTGGGACGTGCGAACAGATACAGGGTTTGGGGTACTGAGCCGATCTAAAAAGTCTGTGCGGTAGAACCCTCGGCCTGATTAAGGTATGATGTCAAGGAGCACACTCGGTTTGCGACTCATTGCACCATAGGCACCCATTGGGAACGATACTAAGGTTGCTTTGATCCGGAACATGAACCGTCGCATAGGCTTGTAATCGAAGAGAAGGCTGCTCGATGGCTGCTCGACGATGATGTAGTGACCCATCATCCATGCGACATACAACCTCAGACATATTTTGCGTTTCTATGCCCCATCCAAATATCCGTATGCAAACCATGTGTGTTACATGAGTTTAAGGCAAGTGACACATAAATCATTCGTCTAACGAAAACATTCGCACGTCGAACCTTCATCAGCCGACTAGCAAAACCGGCAGGTCGATTAAGTCTTCTGCCCGTACTCCCGCGAGACCTTGGAATAGCCAAATAGTGTAACTCATGTATGGTATGGTATGCATACATGCATGCAGTATACATCATAGGCCCAAGGCATCCAAACCCAAGAGGAGCAAGGAGGAGCGAACCAGACCAGAGCTGGCCGGCGAAGATTGCGAATCTCAGATCATTGTAGGTACCGACAAACAAAATCGCAGCCCCCAAGTTGCATCTCAGAAGCTGCCGTCAAGACGGCCATGAAGCCGATGGTTCTCATAAAGTCATGGTTTCTGGAATACGTTGCCTTAGCGTGGTGAGCTATAGTGGTGGATCATTAGCCGTATAATATAATGCTCATGCAAATTAAATTAGGTGCAGACTCGGAGCATCGATCGCCTTACCAGCATAGCCCCAAGCTTGCAGAGTATCAGTCAGTACCTTGGTTGCTTCCCACGACTACGATCAATAACGGTACAATGGTGAAGCCTGGAGGCATGAGTCCCGGCGCATATCTCGATCTTAGCTCGATCGAGAGATTGAAGCAGCAATCCAAGCAGTTTCGGTCTTTCGGTATGATCAAATATTCTATTTTGGATGTCAGGGC